AAATGCCTCTTGAGGGCATGAAGTGACTAAAACTTTCAAAATTCCTCCATTGAAGCCCATTGTAATTTCAGGCAGATATTTCCTCACGGTAGCAGCCGCACACCTTTAGTTAAACTGCCAAAAAGGCGACATTATTAACCCGAAACTACACAAAAATTACACTTCAGATACTCAACTTCCTTGACATGCTTCACGTTTTGAAATTTCACAGATATCTGTTACGGTTCCTCCACAAAACGTTCACATGTAAGAGGTTCATCTCTCATTCAGAACAATGAAGCCTTTGAAGTCTAGGCACCTCATTAGCTCAACTATAAACACCTGTGCAATGGAACACGATGATGTCATTACTCCAACTGACATGCAGCAGACTTCAACAGTCCAGCTGTGAAGACATCTTTGCCGGTTTCGGGTTTCTTCAAATGCCGTTGTCATGGCAACACAATGCTCGCCTTGAAACACGGTTTTCTCATAGCTTCAGTGAAAATACTCCAAACAGCCCAGAACTTCACAGGTTTGGTAACGATGCAGCCATCAATGCATCTAAGCGTAATATGGGGTGTCATCAAATGCTGTTGCTATGGCGACAGACCACTCGCCATGAAAAATGATGTGGCTGTAAGTCCAATCGACACGGTCCAATCGTCTCCCAATCTTCACTTGTATATGACCGGTCCATGCCTTAACAGCTCGACGCCAAATCTGAGATCTCACCATATGCCGTTTCCATGGAAACGCATCCCTCGCCATAAAACATGATGTCGCTATAAGTCCAATGGACACGGTCCAATCGTCCCCAAATCTTCCCTTGTATATCACCGGTCCATGCCTCAACAGCTCTACGCCAAATCTGAGATCTCACCATATGCCGTTTCCATGGAAACGCATCCCTCGCCATAAAACATGATGTCGCTTTAACTCCTATGAAAATGTTTCAAAAGTGCTCAGACTTCACATTTGTGCTAACAGTCCAGCCGTGAAGACATATATGGGACAGTTTTGAGATTTCTTCAAATGCCTTTGCCATGGCAACACAATGCTCGCCATGAAACACGGTTTTCTCATAACTTCAGTGAAAATGCTTCAAACGCCCCAAAACTTCACAGGTTTGGTAACGATGCAGCCGTCAACGCATCTAAGCGTATTATGGGGTGTCATCAAATGCCGTTGCCATGGCGACAGATCATTCGCCATCAACTTAGTTCAGAAGTTTGTGGTTCAAATATTCTGCTGCTTTTCCAAGCCTTTTTACTTTCTTTTCTTCTCTCATCACACATTCAAGCCCCCAGTGTTCATGTATCATTTCAATCTAAATGATTCACTTTCTTCTTACACATTTCATTTCAGCAAAGCAGTTTAGTCGCCCTACCCAGACAGCTTGTACTGAGGAAAATTACCTACAGGAGCTTAAAATCAGTGAGCGCACCAGCCATAACCAGCCTCATAGCTAGCCACCTGGCCTCCGATCCCCCTGACACCTCGGTTGACGGACTGGTAGCCCAGTACAACACTGCTCTTTCCCTGAGTCTCGACTCACTTGCCCCCCTCATTACCCGCACTGTCTCCTTCACCCACTCAGCCCCCTGGTTCACCACCAGTCTTCGTGCCATGAAAGCCTCTGGCCGCCAACTGGAGCGGCTCCACAAAAAATCTGGCCTCACCGTCCATCTGGAGGCGTATAGAGAGCATGTCAAATCTTACAAGGACGCCCTCTCAAAAGCTAAGGTACACTACTACTCCTCACTCATCGGTAACCAGCAACACCACCCCCGTATGCTCTTCTCCACCATAAACCGCCTACTCCGCCCAATTGACCCCCCCAACCCAGCAGACGCCCCCGAGCTTTGCACCAGGTTCCTTGACTTCTTTGAGGACAAAGTCAACTCCATCCACCAGGAACTCCAGGCTTCTGCCCCATCCCATCCACATGCCACACCACCTCCAGTCACTGTTCGCTCAACTCAACACCTGCCTCAATGTTGTCTCTCCTCCTTTGCACCAGTGGATGCCACACAGGTTACCAAACTTGTCTCAAAAGCTAAGGCTACAACCTGCTCCCTCGACCCCATGCCCTCTGCCCTGGTCAAAACTTGCCTACCCATCCTCTGCTCCACCATTGTTAAAATTATCAACTCCTCCCTGGAATCAGGCAAGGTTCCCGCCGTCCTCAAGATAGCAGCTGTCACCCCCATCGTCAAAAAACCTGGTCTCGACCCCGAGGACCCCAGCAACTTCCGGCCGATCTCCAACCTTCCTTTTCTTAGCAAGATCATGGAAAGAGCAGTTGCTGCCCAACTCCACCATCATATGTCCGACCATGAGCTCTACGAACCCTTCCAATCAGGCTTCAGATCCAACCACAGCACAGAGACGGCCCTTATTAAAATAACCAATGACCTCCTCATAGCCGCCGATTCAGGCCTCGTCAGCATCCTTATCCTCCTGGACATCTCCGCCGCATTCGACACAGTCTCCCACACTATCCTACTCAACCGCCTATCCGTCTACCTTGGCCTCTCTGGTACAGCCCTCTCCTGGTTCCATTCCTACCTCTCCAACAGGCAACAGTTTGTGACCATCGGAAAATCCAGCTCTCCCCCAGCCCCTGTCAACCAAGGTGTGCCGCAAGGTTCAGTGCTCGGCCCCCTTCTATTCAACATCTACATGCTCCCCCTCGGTGAAATCATCCGCCGACATGGTCTCAACTTCCACTCCTATGCCGACGACACCCAACTCTACATCAGTACCAATCCATCATCCCAGCTACCCCCACTGTCACTTGTCAACTGCCTTCGCGACATCCAAGCCTGGATGTCAAAAAATCTACTTAAACTCAACAATAACAAAACAGAGCTCATGGTTGTGGCCCCAAAAACACTGCTCCGGAAGGTTGGAGATCTGCTCCTCACCATCGATGGCGGCTCCATCCACCCTTCCCCTGAGGTTCGCAGCCTGGGCGTCACTCTGGACTCCAGCCTCACCTTCAACTCCCACATCAGATCTACTGTCAAAACTGCTTTCTTTCACCTACGAAACATCTCCAGACTCCGGCCCTCTCTCCCCGACCCCGTTGCAGAAACATTAATTCATACCTTCATCTCTTCTCGTCTGGACTACTGCAATGGAGTTCTGTTCGGGGTCACCAGCAAAGCCCTGGACAGGCTCCAGTACGTCCAGAACTCTGCAGCCAGGCTCCTCACCCACACTAAGCCCTGGCAACACATCACCCCTACCCTCATCCACCTTCACTGGCTCCCGGTCAAGTCACGCATCCAGTACAAACTCCTCCTGCTAACTTACAAATCTCTCCACTCCCTAGCCCCTCCATACATCTCTGACCTCCTTCAGCCCTACACCCCCTCTCGTCACCTGCGGTCCTCTGACAAAGGGCTGCTCTCCATCCAGCGCTCCAAGCTGAAAACATTTGGCAACAGAGCCTTCAGTGTCGCAGCCCCCACCCTCTGGAACTCTCTCCCCTGTGCAATCAGGAATGCAGACACTCTGGACACCTTCAAAAAACACCTCAAACACCATCTGTTCACTCAGGCCTTTGGCCTCAACTAATATACAGTACTCAGCAACCTGTTCCTGTTTTTGTTTTCTTCAGCCTATGTATCTTTATTATTACTTTTTGTTTTGTTACTTCCCATTGTAAAGCGTCCTTGGGTTTCGTGAAAGGCGCTATATAAATTGAAATTATTATTATTATTATTAGTGTCAGATTTTCAGCATAAAGCATTCCCACTAGCAATTTCTTCAGGAATTGCATTCTCTAGTTTATTATAGTATTCTTTTTTACATATCCTCAGAATATGGGTTAATTTATTCTTATATCTTTTATATTTATTTTCTGCTTCTGAAGTTCTATATTTTATGAATTGTCTATATAGTGTATTTTTCTTTTTGCAGGCATTTTTCAGGCCATTAGTGATCCATGCACTGTGAGTTTGATTGTGTCTCTCTCTGCATTGTTTCACAGGACAGTTTTTGTCATAAAGTGCTTTAAAGATGTTTAGAAATTCATCATAGGCCTTGTCAATATCGTCTCTCTCTTATACTACCCTCCAATTCTGCTTTAGTAAATCATTCTTAAATGCAATTATGTTATCTTCAGTTCTCAATATTTTGTATTTGAAATGGCTGGCGACTTTCAGTTTCTTAGAACTGCAGTGATAGACAATAAAAACAGGTAAATGATCACTTATGTCACTATATAATAGTCCGCCTACTGTATTGTTTTCCATAATGTTTGTGAATATGTTGTCTATTAATGTAGCAGAATGAGAAGTGATTCTACTAGGTCTGGTCATTTTAGGATACAAACCCATACTGTACAATGTATTGATGAAGTGTTCTGTCATTTTATGCTTATTTGGATTCAACAGGTCAATATTGTAATCCCCACAGATAAACATCATTTTTTGTAATGATTTAGTAAACATGTTTTCTACCCTATCTGTAAATGTGTCAATATAGGTTCCAGGAGCTCTGTATATACAACTCACAATAACATTTTTAGACTTTTCCATACAAATTTCTACTGTAACACATTCAAACAAATCGTCAACAGCTGTTGTCATGCTCTCCACCACCTTATAGTTCATTCCTTTATCCACATAGATTGCTACACCCCCTCCACTCTTATTCCTTCTGTTTGTATAATTCAGTTCGTAGCCATCCATCTCAAAGTCCACACCTTTCTCAGCACTGATCCAGGTCTCTGATATTGCTATGATGTTGAATGGGTTCTTAAATTGACTTAGATATTCTTTAATGTTGAGGAAGTTGGCATATAGACTTCTGCTATTGAAGTGGATCATTGATATGTTCTCTTCTGATTGACACGTTACATTGAATTGCTCTTCTGTGAAATAGTTGCAGCTGTTGTTGATATTGTTCAGTAAGTTGTTTACCGGATCAATGTCATTTTCCATGTCCTGTGCTTTATGCTCTGTATATGCAAACGTTTCAAGTCTTGATGGAGATATGTGTATATTATCTGGAATTGTCATGGTAGTGTTTTATTTTCGTTACCTTGTCTGATTTGTTTCATTGGTATTTTTCCAGTTCCTCCAGGTCCCTGATGATTAACACTTTGGCTTGTTCTGGTGATCCGTTAAGCTTGATGAAGATTTTGCAGTTTGCAGTCCATGTTGATTGTATTTTTTGCTGTTTTCTCAGGAATCGGGCCTTTCTGGCGATCTCAGCATTTCTTTTAGTGAGGTGTTCATTCATACATCCGAGCCCTTAAGCCATCTTCCCTGTTTCAGAAGTTCAGTTTTATGTTTTCTGTTGGCAAACCTTATTATTATTGCCGGTTTATCAGTTTTATGTTTTCTGTTGGCAAACCTTATTATTATTGCCGGTTTATCAGTTTTATTTCTCCGTGGTAGCGGGTGACAGGCCTCGATGTTGTCGCTGTCAATCTCTATTCCCTTGGTGTTGAGGAAGGCCGTCACCTGTAGCTCCACAGATGTAGCATTCTCCTCGCTTGTGTCCCCTCCGGTCATCCTCGTCGCCGCCCGAGCGTATGAGCAGGGTTTCGTCTCCAGTCCAGTGATTATGATGTTGTTAATTCGGGTGTATTGTTCCAGCTCATCCACCCGATTTTCCAGCGAGAATATCCTCTTTTCTTTTTCGGAGTTTTCTAGCCTCAGGGCTTTAACTTCCTCCACCAGGCTCATAATTGCTATCTGTTGCTGTCTTACAACAGGTCAACATGTCTAACGATCGTTTAATGTCGTCAACCTCCTCAGCATACGGAGGAATCTTTTTTGGTGGCATTGCGTTTTGCTTAGGATTATTATATACGGAGAGAACGAGGAAATGTTAGTTTGCTCTCTGTCTCTCAGACCTCCTCCTTCACGACATGACCTGTTCCTCTGACTGCGTCTGGTATTTTTTTATTATACGAAGCAGGGGCGTCGCCTGGACCTGGAAACATTCGGGGCTTAGCCCACAGTGGCGGCGCTACAGTCACATTTTCTACTGCAAGACTCCCCACACGCACATACACAATTGCGCCATCTGGTGTCACAAACAAAAAGCTTTGTTACGGCAATGGATTGTGGGAGATTCTCATAGCACGTGAGGATCTCTTGAGGGTAAGGTGCCTGTATTATCTCGGTGGACAAAATGTATGTTTTTATTTTATAAGGACAATAACGTACTGTTGTGTTTGTTTAGTTTAATGTTAATTATTTAATGCTCACAGTCACAGCAACATGTTTTTAGTGTGATTGGCTATTTGTTTTATATGATTTATCAACGTGATCATCAAGAGTTAATCTGAGCACCAGAACCCAGCTCACGAGTCCTTTGATGCTGTCCATTGAAATGCAGGTATGCGAGTTTTATACACCAGTTTATTTATGTTTAATGTTTCACATTGCTCCACATGATGCCTTGACTACAAAGTATTCCATGTTTCTACGCTTCTTCCTCTGCGTCACAGTTTCGGGAATATCAAGATCATTGCACAGGGCCTTGGTCTTGTCATAGACCTCATGTGCTTTCTCGTTACTTCGGTAACTTTTCAGTGTGTTCTCAACTGCTGTTTTGTAATCCACTGCCTGCACCAAGTCAATTGTTTCTTTCTGCAGGTATTTGTGCAGGCCCTGAGTGGTTGAGAGCAGTGTCTGGAACATGACAGCATGTAGATGGTACTGCATTTTCAAAGCTTGCTTTCCAGTCCCTTTACTAGAGGGGCTGAAAGGCTCCCTAAAGTCTTGATCAAAGCAGGGAGGTTTTTGACATGCCCAGCGAACAAGTTGTTTGTCCCCTACCTCTAGCTGTTTCTGAAATGTTTGCAATCTCTGATGGTGGACAAGAGATGTGGAGAAGAAAGAGTCGAGACACTCCAGGAGATCAACGCAGGTATGTGAGTTTTGTACACCAGTTTGTATAAGTTTAATGTTTCACATTGCTTGTGAAAAATATACTATAGCTATACGATCACTGATGTTTTGTTGTTGACTGGACACTTATTTTGTAAAAGAGATAGCATGAGAGGATCTCTTAAGCAATGCAGCTCACGTGTCCTTTTTATATGCTGTCCATTGAAATGCAGGAAAGTAATCAGCTCTGAGTGATCTGTTGCCGAGGGGACACTACACCGGAGTTACATAAGCAGAGATAGTGCTATTTTGGGGGGAACTCACCTCCTCTGGGGTCCCCCAGTAAGACTTTTTTTAAATACTGAAGTTAAAAGCATCAATCTTGTGCACTTTGAGAGCAACATTAAGAGATATGGATACATCTCTCAACACCCATCAAAAAGAAATCAAAGAATCAGAAACGGGTTTATTATTTAAAAACACTTCATTTTCCAATTAAATCATAAACTATGTCAAATTATTAGAAGTTGTTAGTAATCAGATTAAACAGAAAAAAGGGATGGAATGAGGAAATAATAATCCCTCATCTCTTGCTGTTTGCGGTTGAAATGATCTCTTTTGCTGGCCAAACATGCTGGATGGAAAGCAGTGATGTCTCACTTGCCTTGGCCCTGTATCTGCAGTCCCTAAATCAGTCATGTTACTAATTGACTCTTGTCTGTTCTGGTGTTCCTGTTCATTGTTGTCTCCATTGTCGTTCTTGTCTGTTGTATCTCCATCTTGTGTGTCCCTTTCTCCTGTTCTCCTTTCTTCATCATCTACTCTGTTTGGCTCATCTGTGATGACTGTGGGTAAACACAAACAAGTATGTAAGTCAATCAGTTTCCAGCTCTGTCAAATAAATGAATTTCAAGATACACAAATGTGTCTTCATTAAAATGAGTGTCACCACACTGTCACAAAATGTAATACTAACCAATTGAAAATAGTTAAATGTACATCTCTTGTAGATATCACTGTTAGAGTAGTTATCTGCCAATAGGACAGAATCATTCCTATACAAATGCAGTTTGAGTAATTCACTTAATATATTTACTTAAAACTTTAATATAGTCATTTTCACTTAATACTCTAATATAGTCATCTTTCTGCATTCAACACTTAGGAAACCTGTACAATTTGACATGATAATGAGGAAAAAAGGCCTCCGACAATGCAGATCATTTTTTGATCATATAAATTTGAAGATGCGGGTCAAGGCTTAATATTTGGGAGCATAGTGTCCCTTGCCCCCTTTCAGGAGCCCCACTGGATTAGCTTTGATCTGAAATATTTGTATAAAAAGCTTGTTAGCTGGCTGTCCATCTCATAATGTTCACATAGAAACTAGCTGTCAATAGGAAATATAAATCAGAAGAATTATATTTTCATGCAAAATCTGTCACAAAAAGAGGTTGCACATTTAAATGCAGGTGTTGTTATGGCAACGTCAGTGGCCAGACAGCCACATTTACTGCTGCAAATACGTTCAAACATGCTGTCGACACGTAAAGCAGTGGCATGCCACCATTTCAGCTGACCTTTTCTCAGAAATACTGTCACATAACATCCATATATATATATTTCAGTGCTAGGTTGATGCTTAGCTAAGCTAACTATGAAACACTTTAACTGACAGGACTCAGGATCAACTGTGTACTACTGTAAGGCAGCTTCTAGCTTCATGTCGAACACAGACAGTAAGTCAACATTTCCCAGACAGCTTTCTTTGAAATCACCAAGTAACGCTAAAAAACACAACATTTAGATTGTATGACAAAGTGTTTATTTAATATATCTGGCTAGCTATAGCTACTTGCTAACGGTTTAGCTTACCCGCGCGATTCAAAGTAACGTCAACGTAGCTATAATGTATGCTTTGCTTACATGTTCGCATAACTTGTAAGTTTACTGACAGGTACATACCTTGTTCACCTGGCTCAGGTGGTGGCTCTGGGGTTGTTGTGTGAGCCACCACTTGAGAATTGCCGTCTTTTTTATTAAAGAAATGTCTAATGTCCATCTTCAGAATCTCCGCGTCCGGGGCTGACAGTTTAAAGTTTAAACATTGTCACAGAGGAGAGGTCAGCCAATAAAACACGTTTATTTCCATGCAACTCTCTGATTGGTCCGGTGGCGTCGTCTTTGCCTCTGTGTTGCATTCACTGAACATGGGAAATTACAAACCTGCCGTCCGTCCTATAGGTAAAGTAGGTTAATGTATTATATTATTGAGGGAGAATTTGTCCGGGGCTAAAGAAAAAACATCCGGGGCTAAAGCCCCGGATGCCTACCCCAGGCGACGCCCCTGATACGAAGCCTAAAGATTCGACCTAGTTCGGCTGTGACATGTTTATGGCTGATGAGCACAGGCCAGTGATTTCGCTAGCAGAGATTGAAACCTTGCTCCAGGGCTCATGATATGCAATCACTATTATACAGCTTATTACTACCAAACTCACTACACACGTCAATAGTCTCCTGTGTGTCATACTACAGCAAGGAGTTTGGAAGAATATGGTTTTGAATAATTTGAGAATATTTATAATGTAAATCTTCAATAACTATGGCATCATCTTCAATAACTTTACTATTATACAGTATATTTCTACTAAACTCACTATTTGCATTGTTGTTGTTGCCGCAGGGCTGCCAACACTCACGCATTGAGCGTGAGAGTCACGCAATTAACCCATATCTCACGCACTCACGCCACACTTGCCTTTGCTCACGCTAAGTTTTGGTCCAAAATAAATGTATATAAAATTCATAAATAGAAAAATAAAGTGAAGGAACTGCAAACCGAGCGGTCTACGAAATGAGACGGTCTTCTGGCTTAGTTCAGTAAAGTTGGAATGATATTGGGAGATTCTGATTTCACTGATCAATAACTCATGAACAAAACATTATTCAAAGTACGTCTCCTAAGTACGGTGGTCAGGTTGACAACGAACTACAATCACATTTCGATAAAAAAAAGCCAATACTATACGCGCCGTCCTCCGAGCTGGACACATTAAATTGGTCTCTATCCGCAGCCGGAGAAGAAACGAGTGCTCAGGGACCGTCTGCAAAGTGCAACTCCGAAAAAAGATAATACAATAATATTCAATCACTATTATACAGCTTATTACTACCAAACTCACCACACACGTCAATAGTCTCCTGTGTGTCATACAGCAAGGAGTTTGGAAGAATATGCTTTTGAATAATTTTGGGGAATATTTATAATGTAAAATCTTCAATAAATATGGCATTATCTTGAATAACTTTACTATTATACAGTATATTTCTACCAAACTCACTATGTGCATTGTTGTTGTTAGCATCTGGTTAGCTTAACGGATATTAGAAGCTGTTTCTAAAACAAGGAAAGGGAGAGCTCTGTCCTGTCAGACTGAGAGATATAACTACAGTACAGCTCAGTGAGGTAAGGGACTCTCTGTTTAGATAGTTAACTTTAGTCTAGTTATTACATTACATTACATTGCATTTAGCTGACGCTTTTATCCAAAGCGACTTACAATAAGTACATTCGACCAGGAAGACACAACCTTGAAGAAAACAGAATCATATAAGTACATCAGGTTTCATAGAGTTATCTCAGTGGGTCTCAAACGTTTTGTTCACCATTTATGACAATAAATGAAAAACAGTTATGAAAATCTATATGACAGTAAAACAAGCATACAGTTTAAAAGGGGAGTGATTTGTAAAATATCCATAAATAAAAAGAAAACCTGTGTACAGTTCTGTTTCATATGGGTGTTGAGAGATGTATCCATAAATTCATTTTGCTCTCAAAATGCACCAGGTTAATTTATTTAACTTCAATATTAAAAAAAATCTACCCGAGGGTAGAGGAGGGGTCTGGCAAATCTCACTCCAAGCTGAACTCAAATGTTGGCAGCCCTGTTGTTAGCATCTGGTTAGCTGAGAAAGAGAGCTCTGTCATGTCAGACTGAGAGAGATAACTACAGCTCAGTGA